CGTCGCCGTCGTAGTCTACCCCGTAGGAGGTAACTATACTAGCTCGCTAAGCGCTAGGGGCGTTTCCGTCGTTCTTCTTATTCCTTAAGCGCTTACGGTACTCCCTTTTTAGGGTAATACCTTCCGTCGAGGCTTAATAACAGGCTCCGATCTTATAAAGCTTATTAGTAAAGTCGATAAAGGTAATAAGTATAAAGACCGATACGAGCTAATCGGTTAGGGAGTAGTAAAGGGCGGACCGTAATATTATTAGCTTTATTCCGTCTTACTATAAAGAACCTCCTACTACATTAAATAGGCCTTCCTAGCGGCTAAAGAAGTCGTTAAAGGGTTAACTAGACTACTATTTATAGTCGGGAAGGCGCTTTAAAGCGTTCTCCTACGTTTAAACGCCTCCGAATAGCTACGCTATCTTCCGAAGGAGGGTAACGGGGTTACTTATACCGTCGTCGCTCCCCTTCCGCTAGAACTCGGAGATCTCGTATTAACGGCTCTTAGGTAGGGTATCCTTAAGGAGGATCTATACTTTTTACTTAAACCCTAGTACTCCGGACTAGGAGTCCAGGTTCTAACAGAATAATAGGTCATAGAAGTAGTCGGGGAAGGTATAAGCCTTACCGTCCTATTACGGCTATCCGAGGCCCTTAGCCGGATCCTTATATCTAGGGGCGAGCGGGGTAATCAGGCCCTTATAGGGCTTTACGGCGTCGAGGAGGCCGGTAATACCGGCCTAAGTAAAGGTAGGAACTTCTACGGGAGCTACGTTAAGGGAGTAGAGGTAGGCTTCGATCCGTCTATTAATAAGGGCTTCGGCCTTAGCCGATAGGGTTTCCCCGGGGGAAACGGAGGCGGGCTAAGCTTCCGACTACTACTACTAGACGTTAGCCGTTTAGGTAGCGAGGTAGGCGCCGGCGGCCTAGGCCCTAAGGTAAGCGCGGAGCTAGTCGAGCTCCTACTACTATTAGCGGTTCTAGCTCTCTAGGTAGTCTCGGAGCTAGATTAGGTAGGCGACCTACTCTTAAGAGAGCGAGGGTATATATTCCTACTCCGGCTCGAGCTATGGGGGAACCTCCCCGAACTAGGGAAGCTGCTGGTGCTACTGGTGCTACGGGTAATCTATCGTTGATAGTTGGTATGTTATAGTAGCTGCTAAAGATAGCTCTGTTAGTAATCGTAGTACTGTATTAAACCAACTATGAAGAAGAAAGAGAGAAACAGTGGAAAGGGGAAGTAGGCGCCCCCAGGGTATACTATGGAGGCCAAGCCCTGGACGTAGGCTCTACTGCGGAGGCCTTCCGCCAGCTGTTGCTTGGCGAGTGCCATCGGGGAAGCGAAAGCGAAGCCAAGCTCCACACACCAGGCTAGACCTGTTACACCTGGAAGGCAACAAGTTGGTCTGAGATGTATGTGAACTTGCGACCGAGATACTCGCTCGCGTGGGTCCCAAAGTCATTGGCGTTGAAGCCGATCGGGCCATGAGGAAGAAACTGCGGCACGCCTTCGAGGTTGAGTAAAGTGCCCGGGTCCAACCGAACTCCCCCGGGGGTTGTTGGCTCCAAGCTGGAAAAGCGCTCGTCCCACATCAACTCCCAGCATTGGTAGACAACCAGAAGATCCGTAAATATCAATCGACGGCGGGATACAACGGCCTCTTGGTAGGTCCATCCCCGGCTGTTCCAAGTCGATCCCAAGAACAAATCCATACGCCTGGCATGGGCGGCTGCCAATTCCCCGTCGCTCATAATCGGAACAATGCCATAACGGCCCAGCTTCAGCATAGATTCCTGGGGGACGTCGGGACGGGGTCGCGAAACACCAGGAAGGCCGTATGTAGGACCAGATCCGGCGGCGGCAATAATGGTCAGCTCTGATTGCTTGTAAATCAGATTCATGTTGCGAATTTGGTCGTGTTTCGAATCCGAGTCGTTTTGCAAGATGCAATACCTATCGACCCAGAGGTAACGAAGCCCTAGCTGGAGGCAAACGGAGATCGCGTCCGCGATCACCAAGGGGATATCTGACGGAAGCCGTGAGTATGGCAAAATGGTTTCCGTCTCCGTCACAGCTCCCCAGACATAGCTAAGAGTCGCGTATTCAACGCTCCTAGGTGCCGTAGTTTCGGGAAGAGGGACCAGAGTCCGAGTAGCACAGTCGATGACGTGGAGACGCGTGATGTTCTGGCGAACGAGCCGCCCACAAGAGCTGCTATGTTGAGTTTGGCAACCCGAAAATGCCGCCTCGATCATGTTCCAGTTCACCATCTGATCCGGTGCGCACTCAAGGTGAACCTGCCAGGATTTCCAATTGTGGGGGTGAAAGTAGCCCCCGGCCTTCAACAACGCGGTTGTAGGGGATACAAGTTGGCCTGTGTCGGTGGTGGTAAATAGTGCGTACTCTTTGAACTGGCCCTCATGGGTTGGCGTGCCCAACGGGGCTCTTGGCGCGAATGCAATTATAGGAAACGTGTCCATAACTTGAAAATCGATGAAGGAGTTGTATCCGTCCTCGAGGTCCTGGCGGTATGTTGAGGTTGAGAGATAAATGCGGACCTCCACCTGGCTAACCTCCTCTGCAGAGTCGACCTTCTGCCAAAGGTTACTAATGACCCGGCATAACGCGCAGGGGGTCTCGATGTGCTTCGACTCGGCTGGTCCATGGAATTGAAGGCTGACACGTAGGAACGGCTCATTCATCGGCTCTTCAAGACGTGCAAGGCTCTCGGGTGAGCAGGCAGCCAAAACGGGCGAGAGATCCAGGCTTCTGCAATCGCAATATGTGGGAATTTGTAGTCCGTCCGACCTAGCACGTGCGATTTCAAGTGCCCGGTCCATTTGGTGCTGTTGTTGTGGTGTAGGGTACTCCGATCGAGTTCTTTTGCTGGACGGGCGAGTCGAGGTGAAGTAGTCGGTGAGGTTGCGGCTGAGTTGCGATTTCCCCTCAATGCTCATGAGGGCTGTGCACTATCCGAGTCAGCTGACAAGACCGGGTGAGGGCTGCCGCAGCGGCTATCGGTCTGTGTCCTTATTGGTTCCAGTTCGGTGTGTACGGATCATCTTCAACCCAGAGGTTGCTGAGATGTGAGACACATACAATGGGTTGGTTGCCTACCTAGGTAGGTACCTAGTTGTTGAGCACCATTGAGGAGAGAGTTCGACCTAGTCACCTCCCCAATACAATCATCATCACGGGTTGCAGTGTCTATGGTAAAAATTATCAGCATGTTATTCTTTCTCGTCGCCGCAAATCCAAGGGGGGTGGAGGAAATGCTTCCCAAGCACCACGGTGTCGAACAACTGGGTCCGGAAGGAAACTTACCTGAAAAGAGTTAGTGAAGAGGTTCCTCACTTGCCCACCTCAAGCCCCATCCTTCTTCCCCACGATGCCCTTGAACACCCCCTTCAACCACTCAGGGCCTCTCTTCTCCTTCCCCTCTGCCTCGGAACGCGGCCGCCGCTCTTCCAACGGCCTCGGCCACTCCGGCTCGTACCCCGCTTCATAGCAGTCCCAGTACTCCTCGGCCAAGGCGTGCTCGACCCCCGCGCGCAAGTCGGAAGTAACAAGCCACGGCTTCGCCTCGGGCCCGATAACCTGCTGCCCCTCGACCAAGATATCCCGCCACCGGGCGTCGAAATTGGAAAAGTACGGCTTGAGGCTCTGCGAGCCGACGAGGTACACGGTGTTTGGGTTTGGCGCCGACTCAGCGTCGCTGGGGTCGATGCCTTTCTGCGCGGCGACGGCGAGGGCGTTGGTGCGAGACACGAGATCCTCGGTGTGGCGCATGACTTGAGCGGTCATTTTGGGGTGGGAGGTGAACTCGATCACCCGCAGCGGCGGGTACGTCCGGGGGTGGCTCTCCCACTCGGCGCGGAACTGGCCGAGCCAGGAGTTGGGCTTCACGGGCGCTCCGTCGCCGGAGGGGCCGGGGACGGCCGTGGACTCGGGGACGCCACCGGAACAGACGTAGAAGGCCGGGGCCTTGCTGCGGATGTAGTCGAGGCGGTCGGAGCCAAAGAGGGTTGGAATCTCAAAGGGCTGGTTGACCTTGCCGCCGTTGAGGAGGATGTCGGTGACGATCTTGGTGTCGCGATCCCAGTCCTCGGGTTCCCACATGGCCCAGACGGCCTTGACGGTGAATTTGCGGGGCCGCGTCATCACCCACTGGTCCTTTTTCGTGGGCCTGTCCTCGTAGGGGATCTTTGGTTTGGGGCGGTACTTGGCGTACTGGGGGAGGAAGTAGGCGAGTTCCGAGGTCGTCAGGACGAACTCGAAACCGTAGTGCCAAGCGACCTTGCGGGCCGCTTCGCCGTTACCACCGATGACAAGGATCGTGTCTCCGAAGAAGTTGATCACCATTGGCTTGATCGCCGCGGGGGCGGTGCCAATGGCCCGCCATGAGATCAGGCGGGGGAGCTTGAAGTGGTGGTTGAGCAAGTCGGCGACGTCTTGCTCCATCATTTTGATCCCGTTGAAGAGAACGACGAATGGGATGTGATTTTCCTGCAGGAGGCGCAGAGTCTCGAAGGCATCGGGCATAGGAACCGCTGTGTCTTGTCCTTGATATGCCAAGAGAGATTCCAGCGCGAAGACGAACGAAACCCGCGCCGGGGGCCGGATCGGGCCAGTGACGGTCGGAATGGTCGCCATTTTGGTAGTGTTGGTCTTCTGGTGTATGTTAAGAGATGTGTTAGCAGTGGTTTGGTAAAGTGATGCGGGGATGGCTGATTCCCGTCAGAGACAACATAGACATCCGTATATATCACCATGGACCATGACTGTCAAAGGGCGGAACAATGGAGAAGCTTGGTGCTTTGTCTTCGAACAATTGGATTGTGATAAAGTCAACGGGGAGATCAAAGGGGCCCGAAACGATGAACCAGATCGTTTGTCCTCCATCCCAACCAAGAGGGCTGAAAAAGCAAAAAGGACAACCGGAATCGTCGTCCCTGGTCTGGTGCAGACTCCAAAAAAGAAGTTTCTTGCAAGACAATCAAATTGTCAGACTCGGATACGGGGAGTCGAACCCCGGGCTGCTGAGTAGCTCAAGAGATGAGAGTCAGCGATGTTACCGCTACACCATACCCGATTGATGCATATTGCAATGATAATGTCCACTCAACAATGACTCTCCGCGTGGAGTGAAGGATTTGTTTTCGGTAGTCGAAACTTTCACTTGGCGTTGTGGGCCCGGGCTGCCTTGTTCATGTTGCTTGGTGAACAATGGCACTGTGTAACCTCCTCGAGCCGTTGTGTTTTTGACCTTGGAGTTCTTCCTTCCCGGGGGATGGTTGGGGCAGATGATGCTTCGCGCCAACGGAGAAAATCGACAGTGATGTTGACGGTGACGTTGCTCGGACCGGGTTGATGTCGAGATGCCTTCGTACTCGTGGAACTTGGTGGACAATCGTGGACACTGCAACTCGATGAATTAGCTCTCCGACACAAAAAGTTCCAACTCGAGAATCGGGAGAAGAATTCGCTCTTGTACTCGCCGAAAAATGGTGGCCAGGATTTGTCCGAGTCGCGCGAGGAGGATGGCGGCGAGCCCGAAATCGCAGGGTACCTAGGCATGGCATGCTCCAAGCGAGAAACATCAAGGTACAATACTTGCTCTCTTGGTTCGAGTGTGATCTGGATGGCAATGATGGATGTCGCCTGGGCAGGTTCGAGATCAAACGGGCGAATTCTGGAGGAGGGGTTGGATTTCGCCTACCTTCTGGCAGGTCCCACACCGGACGTCAAAGTCAAGACTGGCATAGAAGTCACGACCTACATTTTCACATCATTTTCACCAACTTCCCTGCAGATTTTCCAAATATTTTATCGTGTATTATTACCAATGGCGAGCCCTCTCCTAAACAATGCTCCCAAAATGGTGCCCAGACTCTTGCTCGGGTCTGATGACCATGACATCTGAGTCATGCCTCACCCACCCCGAGACCCCACGAGATAGCGTCTCACTACCTCGAACAAGTTGAACCCCAGTCCTCCGAGAAGCCCTTTAAAGTAGCGCCATGCCCCTACCACCACCGCCTGGAACCCTCGAAAACCCATCTGCCATGTTCTCCCCTGGATCCCCGCCGGATGACCAGCCCACAGAGTCTTCTTCCCCTGCTCCTTGTGGCTCCCATCTTCGTCATCCTCGAGCAGAGCCTCGATGTCGATGTAATCCAGCAGAAAGAACCTCGCTGGCACGGGCCGGTCGCGCCAATGGAAGGCTGTCGTCTTGCTGGGCGGGGGAATCCAACATCCCTCCCAACTCTGCCCTGGGCCACGCTCCCATGCCTCCTGGCTTTTCCGGGCCAGGAGCTCGGCGAACTCGATCCTCATCAACACCCTGGCGATCCCCTGGCCTTCGATCCTCTGCTCCTTGTCGGCAGGGTCCAGACCGTACCGCGCCATCATATCAGTCTCCCCGCCGAAGCGCTCCTCCAACCAGAGAACTTCCTCCGGGTTGAAGGCGCCAAGTGGAGGGCCCGGCTGGTTCCACTCCTCGGCGTTGTCGACGAGCATCCGCTGCTCGTGCCTCCTCTTGTCGGTCTCGGCGTGGTGCTCGGTGTAGTACGGATCATCACTGAAGACGTCGTACCACCTCTCAAACTCCTCCTGATGCCAGCGAAAAACAAGAGGGAACATCGCCTTCCCCGGCCCGGCAAAGTATTCGCGGAGTCGGGACTTGGCCAGCTTCGGCACGATCGGAGCGCCGCTCAGATGGAGCGTCATGAGGCCAGGGACCACGTCGTCGCGGCTGTCGAAGTACGCGAGCTTGTTGTCGATACTTTCTGGGCTCACGATTTCGCCAGGAGCGACGGTGCCGCAGTGGATACCGAAACGGACCGTTTGGTAGTTTAGCGGCCCGTAATCATCGGTCCTCGGCCCACCCATGACGTTGAAGGCGAAGGTGGGTATGTACAGGACGTGGTGGAGGCGGAATGTGCCTTCAGAACCAGGGCCACCGCGGAGTGGCGCACGTTGAACTGGTAGTTCCACGGTCCCCATGCCGAGAACAGGATGGTAAAGAGGGTCGGAGCTCATGACCGGATAGTCTTCCGGCGTGGGAGCCTTCAAGTCCGGCGAGAACTCGTTCCCCAGGGCGCCAAGGAACGACGGCTTAGGTGCAGCAATGGGCTGCGGAAGCTGGGTGGTCTCCCTTCGAGGCTGTTGGGCATACGAGTGCCATGTAAGGTCCGTCTTGCGGTGGTTGTAATAGGCAAGATTCCAGTTGTTGAGCTCTGAGACTGCCTCCTTGTTTGGACGCTGCTCGACGTACGTGCGCCAGGGCACGTAGTCGACAAACCACGCGAGGTCGTTGCAAATGCTGTAGAGAGGGCCCGGTTAGTATGGGTGCGTGCGGCGGGACGGTGGGGAGGTGAGGGAGACATACTGCACATTTGAGTTGAGCGACCAAACCCAGTCCGGGCAAACACTGCTTGGGTCGCACCCGGCCGGGAAGCCCCGGAAGGGAGGCGAAGGGATCGATGGGTGACGACGGTCTCCTTTGGAATAGTAGTGTTTCAACCAAAACTTTTCAAGAGCAACCGGGCGATGCGGGTGAGGCATTGTGGCGAATGTTCAAGTCGCGATGGAGATGTACTTTCGCGTGTTGGAAGGTTGGAGGTGCGATGATGGTGCAGATAGTATGTCCTGGAGAAAGGAGTAAGACACCAAGGTGAGAGGGGTTGAGAAAATATTGTTCTCGGGGCTGTCTGTCGAAAGCGAGGTGGGAGTGAAGTGAAAAGAGAAGAAGGATTTGCGCTGGGACTTTTCGCAGCTGGGGTTTTAACACCGGTTTCTGACCGCGGTGAATCGATTGGCTCGAAATAATATGGGCCACATGTGCCTGGCGGTAACAGTGAATGTCCCCGGAGGTTGGGACGAAATTCAGTCCTGAAAAACTGGAATTTAAAGAGGTGCGCTCCCCGGGGCGAAGTGGTAGTTCCCGGTCGGGTCGTCCTCGGCAAGCTTCTTCTTCCCCTCTGGTATGCCATCTCAATGCCCCTAGTTGATTGGCGCCGACGCAGGCTTTACGGTCAATACGCACTACGACACATACGCCATTCCGCGTTGTTCAGTCTCCGGCGGTGTTCTGAACAGCCTTGGGACAACGCCCACTCACGCACTACATGTAAAGAACACAAGTGTCTGCACCTTGCCAGTCCCGACATCACAGCCGTTGACCCACACCCCAGTCCCATCCCCTTCCATGCCATTGCAGGTGCTCTGGAAGAGAGCAAAGTTGGTGTACGGCCAGGGCAGCAGGGAGGGAGACCGTGGACGCCAGCCCACCCCTGCAGCTACTACGGAAGCACGGGGCTCCCATGTCTGGTACAGGCAAGAATTCGCCAGAAGCAGTCGTACGCCGCCTGCAAAGGCAACAACAAGTCGAACTGTGCCGACCTCTCCAACGCTTCATGCCCCAAGTGGCCGGCGGTGATGACAGTATGCCCATCGCGATGGTTGTACCTCTTGCCCCTGATCTTGATGGGCGTCAGACTTGATTCCTTCTTGGCCTCCCTCGGCTTCTGGTCACTGTACGTGACAGGGTCACTGAAAGTGACCGTGTCAACGGGCCCGCTCAAGAGCAGGCCGAGCGCGCCAGGCATCAAGATTGGTCTGTCCTACCGACCTCGAGATCGGCACCCATTCCCCGCGCCCTGCGTGCCGCCGCACGCTTGGAGAGGAGAGCGGCCAGTCCTCCGGCATCTTCACAGCGCGCGGCCGCGGCGTATGTGGTCGTTCACGGCAGTCCGGCTGCTGCCGATTCCTGGGCGTCGACGCCGACCCGCCTCGGGAGAACACTACAAGCATTCTCCCTCTGGATGAGCTCGAGGTTCTGGGGTGCGCGGATTGTAGTTCTCATCTGCTGCCTTGATCCGCTTGGCCGATGTGGAAGCGGCACTGGCTTTGCGCTTCCCCGTGCCCGAACCCCGGCTGGCTGACGTTGGCGGTGCAGTGGTCATTTTCGTGCTTCCCTCAATGGCCTTTGTGAGAACTGTATATACTACCTACTATTAGACAACCTTCAGAGACTAGAAAGGTTGGGTATACTTACGTATACGGACAAGAGGCTGCACCTCCTTCACCTGGTTGCGCAGAGCGAAATATATATCGCGACATCGGCGTAAGTTTCCAATCGGCATCAAGAGGAGGCCGGCGAATTGGTATCGGGCTAACGCCTGGGTTTGTGGGGAGAAGAGCACGTTCTGCCTCCCTCTCAATCCGTTCGATATGCATCAGTCGCGCCTGTGTAAGCCGCCAGGTTAGAAGGAAGGGAGCGAGGAGAAAGGGGGCCGTGGACGCACATGACTTGACCGCACCCATTATCACCTTGCGAATCTGAACCGCAGCCGAGATGCCCTTCTTGTGGTCTTTCGCGAAGAAAAAGCCACCGAAACCTGGTCCGGGATGATGGTGATTGATGGCATTGGGAGCAGAGTTGGACTCATGGTTGGGATGGTGACGTGGGAAAGATGACCAAGAGATCGGGGTTGGCAGACTGAAACAGAAAATGTGTCGGCGCACTATGAAGTTGGGAAGGAGATGCATATCCCACGTTGTCGGCGGGACGAGGCAGGACGATGCCCCGATAGACTGGGGGATTTCATTGGAATTAGTGGGGCAAGCCCAGGTAGTGAGATGCCCCTGGGGCACGGACCAGCCTGGGCCAGGAAGTAAACAATCGTCAACCCCCCTATGTTTGAGAAAAGAGTCGCTACACCAGCAGTCTTGTCTGTGACGTTTGAAGCTTCTTATGGGCTGACAAACGAAAAGTTAGGACTGTGGTACTCGATTATCGTGAGTGTCACCAAAAAAAGCCCCAGGAGGCATGATGGGCGCTACAAGCCCCTTTTTATCGGCGCCGCGGCGTTCCAATGGACGACTGGCGTCGAAGTCGAATTATTGTGCAAAGAAACAACAAGAAACAAAGGCAAAAGTGACCTTGAGAAATACTCGTCTCATTCTCACCTCTAGACGAATCAAGTCATCTCAGACCCATCCAACCGTAGGCCCTATCTAAAGTATGTCAACGCTCCTCGCTCCAAACGTGCGCCTTTCAACAAGCCTCTCAAAACAGTCCCAAAAGAT